ACACACACACACACACACACACACACACACACACACAAGCATGCACACACACGCATACGCACGCACATGTGCACACCTATACACACACTCTTCTCTCAAACAAAGTCTCTTCCACACACACCTGCTCACATAACCATAATAACACAATAGTATGCTCGCACTCACAAACAGACTCACAGTTACATGCATGATGTAAATGAACAGTACTCAGAAACCTTAATAGTGTTAAGCTAGACACTTTATGGGAAACGTAGCATTTTTGAGAGCATCCGAGCAAAGGAATGAATAGGAAACCATGATCGCCGATGTCTGTCGCAGATCTGGCACTGGATGATGATACACTTTATACGTACTCAGTATTCTCATTGTAACTTAATGATATTCTGATGCAACCTTGAACGGTCATAGGAATATTTGGGAATCATGCTGACAAAATGAGTTATTTCTAGGATTTAAACCTTACGGAAATAGATACATCACGCTTATAGGAGGAGTTTTTACAATTTATAAATGGAACATAATAAAAGACAGGTTATAGATAAAGAATATGGCATCAACAACAAATCGACAAATTTGACACCAATTTCTCCATTTTGTGGATTGGGTGAGATTTGTCAACACACCGCACATTTATAACAAACGGTTAAGATGGCAGAAGTTGATTGATGACGTCACTGCTGTTGAATGATGACGTCACTGATGTTGAATGATGACGTCACCGCTATTGAATGATGACCTCACTGCTGTTAAATGATGACCTCACCGCTGTTAAATGATGACATCACCGCTGTTGAACGATGACATCACCGCTGTTGAATGATGACGTCACCGCTGCGTTCACGAATCAACCATTGATGTCACGTTGATGTAGCAGGGTACAGTGAAGGAGTCTGGGCTGGCCAGTGTCCGGAGGGCAGAGTAGGTGGACACTGCACCCATCCCACTGACCACTACGATGATCTCCAGCAGAAAGATTTTTTGATGAAGGGGCACAGCTCTGTAAGGGATAATAGAACCAGGTGGAATTAATCACAGTTATTTCCCTTTGCCTATGATAATGTAGCCAGCGTATCCACTAAGCCAGAAACCAACAGAACATCAAAAATACGCTTAAAGTCCATCAACAGTTGGAGGGAAGTGGGCCGACTGAGCTCTAATAACGCGGGACTAGAACATCTAATCCGAGAACCCCTACGACCAGTGAGTACAACTCCCCCGTGGAAGACCCACTGCAACCTCACAATCAACTCAAAACTTGCAGTGTCTACGACAAAAACAGATCCACCTAATACGGGGTGCCCACTTCAGCTGGATCGGGCCGATCGCCCGACTCGATCGCCTGAAACTGAAAACAAACACGTTTGTTTTTTAGGCGATCGAGT